GTTTTTAATTATATTATCATACTTTCATAATAAAGATATTGCGAAACTACCGCACTTTAAAAAAAAAAAAAAAAAAATTTTATAAATAATTTATCCATTTTTATATATAATTTATCTATTTTAGTAATTATTTGTGCACGTTTTATGCTATATAACATGTGTACACAAAAATTTAATGTGCATATATGCACATTGTGCACGTTAATTTTATACACTGCTTAACTTTCATAAAATTATTTAATAATATTTTAGTATTAATATATCATTATAAAAAAAATTATAAATAATAAATACCTTTCACTTATTATTTTTTATTTGTGATATTTATTTTATTATATTAGCTAGAAATATATAATTAATTATAAATTTTAACATAAATTTTCATTTATTTGACTATAAACTTTCATAATAAATCAAATTAATTAAAATTTTTAATTCATTTAATAGCTTACTTTATTTAAATAAAGAGTATTTTTTTTGTTTTATAAATTACTATTATAACTATAAGCTTGAATTAATTTTTATATAAATTATTTTTGTATTAATAAAATTTTACAGTTAATTTTATTGAATATTTATTAAAATTACATTTTTTTTTATAAACCACTTGGTTAAAGAAAGATAACTAATTAGGGATGGGGCGTTAATTAACATTTAATTAACCAAAAGATAATTAATCAAAGGAAATTTTTAGTTGACCAATCAAAATAAAAAGGAAACTTTTTATAATGTTAATCTTAATTAACCGTTAATTTCCCATCCCTTAACTAATGGTCATACCGATCATATGATCATTAAGGCTCTAGTTTTTTGATTATCTGACAACATTTTCTAAGGCTGCCGCGCCCCCTCTTTTCTCGCCATATCCATAAAATCTCATGAAGGTGACAAGCACAACGTTGACCTTTTGTGGTCTGCGCTTCTACACATCAAACGCGATACCACACAAGGCAATTGGTACAACCGTTGTCAATCAGTTCAATCAATATTCGAAGCCTACAAAACCTTCATAATATCGAAAAGACTATCCTCTGTAAAAATTATCAAGGTTATTATGGAAAGCTAGTTTCTGTCAACTAACATCAGAAATATTGGTATATTGGTACATTTTAAACTTTTACGCAGGATAAATATGAGACTCATAAGATACTATCACGAAACGTCTACTCGACTATCATTATTATGGTCATCACATATCACATGATTGAGATTATACTGGTTCGGGTTAAACGTTCTTTTGGATACCACAACGGAAAATACTTTTTAAGTGTTGAAATTGCGTGGAATTGGCAGGAGGGTCTGGAAGGCTGATAGGTTTATTATAAAAAAATCGATTTGCAAAGGTACCCGGCGGTCTACTTTACCTTTCTCGTGGAAACATTGATAATATCTGACGATATCAACCAGTAAAAGGTGGATTTGTTGTTAGAGCTAATGTGGGCTAGACATTCTATGGATTGGACGAAGAAAATATTAAACTTTATAGTTGAAGGGGTCGAACCAGTTTATTATTGTGAGTAAAAGCAATCGTAAATATTTGTTTGTAGACGAGAAGACGTGACAAAATCTGGGAATCAATTAGTGATATGCCACATGTGTTAAAGAAAATTGTAGCTCATTAAGAAACAAAAAGACAAAAATCAATTCTGATATATTTACAGTTTTCACTCACTCTCACACACAACACATACACACACACTATTGCTTTAATTTCAGTTAAAAAAATTTATAAAATCAAAATAAAATTAATAATTAAAGTTTAACCGCGGGACGCGTCATCTAACGACTGACCTCTTCTCCGGAGACCTGATAGTTCCGAACATCGATTTCCCTGACGAGTCCATCACGAGGACTTCCAATATACAAGGTTTGATGGCAAGTTTGCTTTGTACAAGAGAGGAAACGCACCGGATCCCGATTTCTACGTACGACCTCAATTTTGAACCGCTTCACTTCCACGATGTCTTGAACGAAAATGACGGCACCCGAGACGAAACCTACGGAAAAAATACATCAAATTGCGGCACCATCAAAACATTCAGAAATTATTACGACAGGCCGAACTACTCCAAAATCACAATGTCTCCTTACCGACGGGACGAACATTACTTCAACCGAGCAAATTACTCATAATCAAAGAAGCGATCTCGATTTCATACGAACCAACATCGATAAATCAACGTCATCAACATGATCGTAAACATGCTCAACACAAATTATCATCCTTCCTATTGCTCGCGCATACCGGAGTGACTCATTCATACTAGTTTCCGAATTAAAGCTTACGCAGAAAAGACAACCTTTTCCTTGATCATTCGAGTCATTCCACTAATTTCATTTTCGATACCTATACCACTGATGCAGACGCCACTTATACTAGCAAAGAATGTTTTTTGGTGAGATGAAGTCCGAAAATTTTGAAGAGATGGCTATAGATTGATGACCGCTCAAGAAGATCGACACCCTCATCATCAACGAACGTGATCTCCAAAATAAGGTTCTAATACATTAAAAACATTAATTTAAATTTTTATGAATCTCGTTCATTGTCTTAAATGACACCAACAATATAATCACAGAATGACTACTCCTCTTATTCGTTGTCTTAAACGATATTAATAATATAATCACATAATGATTATATATATATACACACATAGGGATGTTAACGGTTCAA